TTAAAGGAGACTGCTCTGACGGTTATGCTAAGAGTGAAGAAGTCCAAATACTGGTCTACAGTTAATCTTTGATGACATGTTGCTGGAAATTTCATTTGCATGGGGGCAGTTTGAACAGGCTAGCAACTTTTTGTTTAACATTCCTTACTTTAAGTTTCTTCAGATCACAGTGATCACAGTGATCCCATTTGACCATCAATCCTGGTCATATAACTTTGCAACAAATGTTGTGCTGACAGCACCATATTCCACAATGTTACCGTCTGAAAGATGGTCTTAATCGTTTAAGTTATCAAGATTGTCCTTTTAAATTTGTAAACATTTTGTTTGGTTCTATTCCAAACATTGACGATGTGGTTTCCTGTAAAAGCATGTACAACAGGTAAAAATTTTGACATGACAGGGCTTAACACACTGCATATTTTATATACCAAGAGTCAAGTCTCTAAAAGTAATCAATTACTAAACATTAAGAAACTATACCAAAGCAATTCCGTCCCTCATATATATGGAACTAATAATCAACAAATGAATTTGAGAAGCGATGCGAGACTCTTATTTATAGAAGCAACTAACAAAGTTTCATTGAAACTATGGTTATATTCAAGGGAAATAAAAAGGTTTTCAATGGCACACTTTTTTGACATTCCGTGGTCACCCTGCGCCTGAAGTATGTTTTAGCTGACTTTATAACTGATTACTTTGCTCTGAAGTTTGGCTGACAAATATATGATGGAGACATTATGGGGCAAAATTGATCGGTAGGGGTAAGAATGTGCGACATTAAGAAAACCCTTTGTATGCAATAACAGGTTGTCATTAACAATTATAATAAAAGACTTCAAGGCAAGTTCATTCACAGATTTCTCTTTATCTGTATTGTCTGATTGCACAAGTGTTGATTTCAATAAATTCTTCATAATGCATGCTGATTGGTAGACAACTTTTGAAGAAAAAAACATATGCACTCGTCATATGGCACATTCCTTGGCACTTTTTTTTTACTCATACTACTTTTGCTAATTTGATTAAATTACTTCTCTTAGTTGTAGATTTAAGATTTAAATATCAAATTTTCGGATAATAGTCTTTTTCGTATTGGATCTGAAACTAATGTGTCTTTTAAAAATTCCCTTGGCCGATATTGACAAATATTTTGTATAATTCTAAAAGTATTTTCTTCGTGGACTGAGAGCCACTGGAAGTAAGCAATTAATATAATAAAAAAACATATATTGCATATAGTATAAAAGTATACGATAATTATCTCATAGTTGATCCGTGATAAAAGCTCGTATTTATTAATATCTTTTCAAACTGAAAAAACCGGAAGTTTTTAAAATAGACAATGTTAATTTGTACAAAAGAAAACATGTACAATTCACAAATTTGCGGACAACTTGTTGATTCGACTTAGGAAATGTCATTTTTTGCATTTTATATTTAGGGGCATCTATTACCCTATTGTAACGACTGTTGTAATGATAAGGCAGTATGGCCGCTATGCAAATTAGCAAAGTACCCCAAATTTTTCCATATATTATTATCTTAACCATGGATAAATCATTATTTCATTTGCGCAACTCAATAGACCGTGAACACGTTCTCGTCACTCGATTTCGTGTAGAGATCTGTCTCTTTTCGAGGTTGAGACGAGATGATAACTTCAAGGAGGATATTGATAGCGTGTTTGTATCAATGGGTAAGGTTGTGGGGCTACATCTCAGATTGGTCACACACACATAGTCTTCTGCTTCTAATCTTAAAACACTACAGTGATGCTTAGTCTTGTGTAACTTTGTCGTAAACCAAATCTCTAAGAATATACATAGCTTCAATCATATTGTGTTATCGTGAATCGCATGTATATTACATGCTCTATTGACCCACGATACATTTTCCTCATTCCTTTTTCTTTTAGCACTCGTTTATGAATAAACTTTAAAGGATTTCCAAAACTAGTCATTTTTAGGAAAATATCTTATTACAATGATTCGGTTGACCTATTATAAAAAGTAAGCAACAAAAAATGTAAGCATAGAAACTGTCTGTGATCAGACGAAAATTAAAATATATATATTGTTCTATCAGTTTAAACAATGTTAAGCCATGTTTGAATATGGTACATTAAACTCGTTAATCTAAAATCTTTTTCGAGGTCAGTTGCAGTACCATAAGTCTCGCTTCAATGTGTTTTTGAAAAAAAAATTAAATTCATTTTAACTCCTGTTTTGATAGATCTGTTTTGCGTTTGAATGTAAAATTATTTGTACGTGCATGCCCCGAAATGTAAATGTATAGAGAGGATGTACATTTTTCTAAGTTGAATTCAATTTATTCAAATTTATTCTTGCATCTTTAGATCTTAAATATTTTTTGCGTCGTTAAAATCAATTGATCGAATCAAATGTATATAAATGGTTAATATTCGAGATGTTATTTTCTACCCTGCTTCACCTGCCGTATATTTGTGTTTTGCATCCTAACGAAGTGAAGGTCAAACTTAATACAATCTTTTTAGTGCATGTTATATATTAATTGGTTTTTAAATCAGAGCGTCGCTATTCTCGTTTTTCAAAATACAAAAACTCATAACACTGTTATTTCAACAAATCTATAATTATAACTTGACTTGTTTCAGTACATTGTTTAAATTTACGAAATAAACCCATTTTACGTTAGGTTTCTGCATAAGCCTGAAAATATCGTCATATATGCGGTGCATATCCAAGATCGTCAACTCGACAAATTTTTTTTCAACTTCGGACTACATTCTCAGATAAATAATATGGTACGTTTGACAATTCTAGATATTCGTCCTTTCTATAGTTGAATATACTCAAAGAAAAATATTGTTTATTAGATATGCAAAATAACAAACACTTTAACATCAAACTTGAAGAAATGTAATATTTCATGTAATACACAGTGTGACACATTGATCTGACTCCTTTTTGAACCCCCAAAAAAACGAAAGTCAAAATCTTGTATTGAGACCAGTAAAAAAAATTTACTTACCGGTTCTTCTGTATTATACCTGTATTACAGACCAGTTCTCTAAATCATGGAATTGTAATCAAATAGAAAATTTCTAATGTATTTCATGTCATTGGTTACTAATAAACTGTCTTAAACATTCAAATCGGTATTGCCCCTTTTTAAAAGCTTTATTCCGTATGCACAATACCAGAACACAGCACAACAATATGTTAATACTATGATTTTAAATTATCAACATCACAAAAATGGATCTTAATCCACAGAAAACAAATTCAGAAGGTCAATTCCGTTCTAGCAAATAACGTTCACATGCTAAGCGATCTCGATAATGAATTCTTAACCAAAACGATCACATTCGCATAATATACCATCATATAAAAGGAATTGGTTCATTTAGGTTCATCGATCAGAAAGCTTATGAACGATATTTTTCGTCGTTTTTCAGAAAGAATACAGTATTTATACTATCTCGTTCTCTCATAGTGAGAAAGGAAGTGACTACATGTGTTGCACACTTTGTACTCATCCTCTCAAAGTATTGTCATTTGTCAGACATATCTAACTAATGTATACGCTTGGTTTTGCTAAGTTATAAGTCTGTCTCGTCGGTTTGAATTGTCGCGTTCGGTGTGTTTTATTCAAGATGTCGAATTTCTATTCTTGCTGCAATCATAACTAATTATTTTGTATCCTATCCCTTTAATTACTTAATATAAAAATAAGGAGATGTGGTATGATTGCCAATGAAACAACTAGCAACCAAAGTTCAAATGAAGTGGATGTAAACAATAATATGCAACCGTACGGTCTTTAACAATGAGAAAACCCCATACCCGTACAGTCGGTTTTAAACGGCCCAGACATGAAAAAAAACTATTCAATTGTGAAAACTTACGGCTTAATTAATAACAAAACAATTTACGAAAAACAAATATGACAGACAGGAACCAACGACTACCACTGAACTACAGGCTCCTGATTTGGGACAGGCACATAAAGAATGTGGCGGGTTTAAACATTTTTGTGTAATACATATTTTAAAACATTGTGTATCATGATTCTGTAGTCTTGAATGCAAGTTTTAGATGTTCCCATTAGAAGACTGTAACATTTAATATTTGATACATTATTTTCTACCTTTTTACGTGAAATCTTAAAGCTAGATAATCGAATGAAAAATTTAATCCCGATATTACATAAAATTGCAAAATATATGCAACAAATATCTTATTAGCTGAAATCAAGCAGTTTCCTTTTAGCAAATACGATTACAACAGTAACAAATTGATTATTAACTTTTGAAGCAATCTAGGTAGAATTTACCTATTGCAAAAACACATGGCATGGTCGATGCTGTGTTAAAAAGTAAAATACCAAAAATACCGAATTCAAAACAGAAAGGCCGTTAACAAATGGCAAAATCAAAAGATCAAACGAATTGAAAACAAGTATCATATTCCTGACGTGGTATATGCATTTTCTTATGTATGTAGAAAGTGGTAAATGATACATGGTTTTATAGCTAGCTAAACCTCTCACTTTTATGACAGTCGCATATAGTTCCATTATATTGACAACAATGTGTGAGCAAAATTAACAACTTTCTATCCTTTAAAATATAACAATTTCAAAAGATCATTCAACTTTTGTAAAACGAAAGTAATACACATTTACCTTGATATCACTGAAGCTGAACAGTAAAGGCGTGACAAGCAATACTTTGACATATCTTTTTTCTGTTCATTTGTCAATCTTTACAAAACGCTTCTCCTGGACAATAAAAAAAAAGATTCCACCTTTTTTATGTTCTTTTGATGGCTGAATGCATTCTTTTGTAACATTCATGATAGAATTAACCTTTTGCAAGAACATACAAACATCTATTAATCACATTTAATCAATCATTTAGATGTTCAGTATACTTGTATTTAGCATTTCTATTGGTTGAAACATAACTAATAAACATTTATTTTATTCTTAACACGAAAGATATAGTTAAATAGTGTACACATCGCTGCAACTGAACATAAATTGTGAGAAAAGCAATGTTTAATCATGTTTTTTCTCTTCTGTTTATTGCTCAATGTATACAAAACGCAAAATTGGAGACATGGGAAAAGTGGATTCCGCCATCTATTAACAGAACAGATCTACTTTGCCCTTCTGATCATTGTACGCGAGACCCGACACAATATGTTACGACGAAAAATGATTGCTGCACGTGCTGGGCTGAACCGTCTTGGAAATTTGATCCATTGACTTATGATTTAGTTTTGGAGTATACACGAAGAGGGGGTACAGCTCAACTCATAGGAGATATAACAGTGAATTCAAGATTGGTACATAATAATGGATTCTTATCGCATCTACCAACCAACGTATGCAATTTTGTGAATATTGTAGAAATAGAAGTCACTTATAATAGAATTTTATCGATTGGAAACATATCATGTTTACCTATACTAGATACACTTGATTTGAGTCATAATTCAATCGATTCAATTGGAAATAGCACGTTTAAATATTTACCTTTATTAAGAGTATTGAGATTAACTTATAATGGTATTACAACAATGGAACCGTACGCTCTGGCAGGAACAACGATGTCAATTTTTTTGGCCGATTTGTCCTTCAACAATATGACAGAAATTGATTTGAGTAATTTAATTCCAGAAAATCGTTTTTGTCGGTATGATTTTTCCTCAAACAAAATCGTTGAAATAGTTAGTGAACAGAATTTTCAGATTGATGTCGACAAAATTTATCATGGAGGATTCGTTTATTTAGATTCAAATGATATCACACAATGGTTTGACTTCAGAGATCTAGGAATAGACGACATTAATATTCTAGGAAAAGTCATGCAATTCGGATTTTCTTTGCAAAATATGAAATGGACTTGTGATTGTCGAATGGAACCGTTTCTTGAACTTTCACAAGATGTGTTAAAAAGAATCTGGCGTGATTACTATAATCTTACATGTTGGGATCCACCGGAATACCGTGGGGTGTCAATTACGGATTTTTTTATGGAGGGGGATAAACTTGATTTGCTTGTTTGTAACAAGTCGTCTGCTGATAAATGTCCAAAAGAATGTTACTGTTTTTATCAACTGAAAAACAGAAGAACTGTGGTCAATTGTACCGGAGTTGGATTACTTGAGTTGCCAAAGTATGTTCCTGAAGGCGATAATTTGACTTTGTTATTTGATGAAAACGATATAGAATTTTTAGAATATCGAGAATATTTCAACAGATCGTCTGTCATTAGTCTATCAAAAAATAAACTCCATACAATTTCAAGCAATGCCATTGAATCTATAGACAGCAACGCAGTTTTTGATTTGTCTGATAACAATATGTATGCGTTGCCTAGAGATTTTCAATCATTTGATCCCTGTATAACAAAATTGGGGAAAATAAAAATATCTTGCGGTTGTGGTGATCACTGGCTTGTAGACTGGGTGAAAAACAAGCGAGCAGAAAAATGCAAAAACACAACCGAAATTATCTGCTTTATAGGGAATAGATATGTTTCAACGATTGATTTAGATTTAGGGGATTTCTGCAATAATGACTCCAATTTGACATTCTTAAACATTTCATTTGGAATAGTAATTGCTCTGCTATTGGGACTTTTCGGTGTATTGTATACATTCCGCTACGAACTGTTTATCTTAAAGAGACGGTTTATGAATCAGAAATCTACGAGAATATGCCCATTACTGAAATACGATGTTTTCATATCTTTTGATGATAATGACACGGAACTGCGTTTTTGGGTAATGAAAAGATTGGCCTCCTACTTGAAAGGCGCTTGTTATAAGACTTTTATACCGTGTCGAGACGGTAAGTTCGGGGATATCAGAGAAGAAGCATTGATTAATAATATAAATATTTGCAAGAATTATATAGTTATACTCTGTGACAAATATCACACCGAAGATACGTTTTGGACAACTGTTGAATGGAAATATATTTGGCATAGCTTTAAACAAAACAAGGAAAGACAAATCATAATGATAAATTACCATCAGTTAGATCCGTCGGAAGTCCGTGAAGAAAAACTAAAAGCTTTTATACGAGTTAGCACAGACATTGACTTTTCAAACAGGAAGCATCATTTGTTCAAGGAGATTCATGATAGATTAGGTTCCCCGATTCTTACAAACAATGGACTAAAATGTGCAAACACAAAATTTATCCCAAAATCACTGCACAGTCAGGATATGTTCATGCTAGATATATAACAATTAAACAATGTAACATTTCTTGTTCAGAGATATACTTATTCTTTTTAAATATTCCTTTAAATATAAGTGTCATATAGCATCTTAAATGTGGCAGTACAAAACCGTGTTCAAATGAATGAAAACTTGTTTATATGAATAGTGTTTGTTTGTTTCTCTTCAGGATCGTTTTCTCCATTTTTAAGTTAGCTTGGATGCTCTTTAATGGTTTATTTATTTGGCGTCTCAATATTTAGGTCTCTTCATTTTCTTTTGTGAAGATATTTTTTAAAAACGACTGTATGGTGGGGTGAGGTCGACATTTTACGATTATATTGAACAGTTTTATATCACAGACAAAATCCACGATTGTTTTCTAATTTTGTGAACCGGAAGCAAAAACAAGCCTGGAAGTGCAAACCAAACAATTCCTAAGAGGTGCACGTGAACCGTTAAACTGATTCATTTGTGCAACTACAATCAACACGACTTCATCTTTTTATCGAGTGAAAATTATCTGTTCGTACTAGCACTAAACTAAAAAATATAAGTTTCATAGTTAGGATATATTCGTATTTATTTCAGTAAGAAAATGCCTGTACCAAGTCAGGAATATGACAGTTGTTATCCATTCGTTTGATGTGTTTGAGCTTTTGATTTTGCCATTTGCTTAGGGACTTTCCGTTTAGAATTGTTCAAAGAAGTGCAAAAAAATATTCATTATATCTTATAGTTTTACAAGTTTTCGTATCTGTTTGACTTAACTAAAACATGGAAAGATTTGCAATTATTTTAGTTTGTTCTTAAACTTTATTATTTGTGGTGTATATATTTGAGACTAGATTAGACTTAAATCGGAAGATCTGGTTTGTATGAACCATGTGAACCGTTCGGTTGAACCTGACAGATGCATACAATCATTATCATGTTATTGAAAGGATATGCTGACACGACACAAATATTTAAAAAGAATGTAAAAATTAAGGACTTTGATATTTTGTTCTAGATTTTCATTTGGATAACAATGATCCGGAATAAAAAGAAGTTCTGTGTTTTGTTATCAGATTGTACAAGAACGTTTACCTATCTAGCCATCTAGAGGTCACTTCCGTATTTCAATGTCTCGCTGAAAAAAATATATGTCTCTAATATTCAACATAATGGTTGTTTTGTTTTCCTGTATACAATGAGGTCCATAAAATCTTTTTGTTATAGAAAGAAAGGTTTAAAGAGATGTGTTATGATATAATCGGTGTTGTCATCAACGGGAAAACGAACATTAGAATATGAATACGACATTTAGATCATATGTATGTAGTAATTACAGGTATTTAATAACGATAAGGCAAATCATGGTATCCTCCGCATCAAGAATGAGTTGATTAAAAACATAAATGACATCACCGAATGTGAATTTCCATCGGATTTTTAAATGTCTAGATAAACAAAATGGTTCCATCAGCGGAACAACAACTGCTTATCATTTCGGAGCACCTCAGTGCTTGCCCATTTTTTTATTGGGTTAGATTTGCAAGTGTTGAAGTGTTTAATGGACTATTATTGGTTTTTGTTGTATATTTTTTGGGGGAGGGGTGGGGGGGGATGCCACGTTTTTATTTTTGTATTGCCTCCTTGATAACGTCAATTCTCTTTTTCTACATCGTATGAACTTAAAATATTGGTTTTCATTGTTTCAAATTGTCATCATTAGTCAAAGTGTGTTACTTCATCGAAGAGATAATGTATAGACTATATTTTATTAACAAATGTATCGATGTAAATCTCGACTTAATTGGAAAGAGCGTTAACAATGTTCGAATCTAACATAGATTTACACTGTTCATTTTGATGATACTAGAAGGATGGGAAAAGAAATTGACTTTGGATTTTCAATTTTCAATTCAAGATACTACAATGTGTTGTGATTATCTTATGGTACCCTATTACTTGCTTAGCAATGATATCGTACAAATAATTTGTCGAGTCTGTTTTAACGTTACAAATATGTTGGAATTTACCGGATGAATTCCCTGAATTATCTATTCTAAAAGGTTTTGAAAGGAGATAACTCAATTTGCCTATCTGCAACTTATTTTCCACTGATAAATACCCGCAAAGGATGTTATTTCTTTTACCGTAAATTGGGAAATTTTAGCGTCGAGATAGTTTGGCGGTTTTCTCTCGAAAGGCATGTGTTTTATTTTGGTGTGTGTAATTTTGGTGCTTCGTCCAATTGATATGTTTTAATTTTAGAACAACAGTAGTGAGCAAGCTCATTCATATTTGCCTTTATTTACCTGTTTATTGGCAAAATATCATTAAATTCTCAAACTAGAAACACGACCAATTTAATATAAGAAAGGAATCGGATACGGATGCAATTGCAACTAATTCCGTATATCCTGGTTCGAAGATGAAAGAAAATATGAAATAAAATCTTAAACATTAAAATCACTTTTTAAATAGATTATTTATCTTTTACAAATATCATATGAAATAAACTTTAATCATCTCGTTTGCAGTACATGTTAATCTATTGACAATCAAGGATTTAAATTTTAATCCTTATGCCTCTGGCAGTACATGTTAATTAATTGAAGATAAAGGATTACAAGGAGTTTTGATATTCTAATTACCAAAAACGGCGTCTAATCAGCAATAGCCTGGCATATTTATGACATGTGTGAATAAAAATTTATATTGTGTTTTCTTAACAATTTCAGAAAATTGACAATTAAGTAAAAATTATATAGTGTTGTTTTCAACGTATACCAGGTATTTATTTGCAGATTTGGCTATGTATAGAATTGTAGGAAATATACGGAAGATATAATAACATAAAATATTTTCCCCAACAATTAGCATTACACATTGTCGTACCGGTACGCAAATTTGGCGTTTCAATTTTTAGTGTTCGCTTTATTTTCGTGTGTTTAATTTTGGCAATTTCATTGGAGGCACCAAATAAACCAAAATAAAACTACAACCAAAATAACCCAATTTACTGTATTAACTAAATCATGATCACAGGTTCTTAAACTGCACTGGAACAAGATGAAAATTAAATCGTCACGTCATATTCCAGACAAACCTTATTTTGGGAAGGGTGAGGTGGCCTCCGAATACCCATGCGTGAAACGTAATTGATTGCAACTGGTTTTGTAAAATGAAATGGTAAAGCTTTAAAAGGTAAATGACAATGTGTCTGAACAGAAAAAGTTAAAGTCATAATGTGAAAAATGTAAATTGAAAGTTATTCAATAATTATTATCTAAATGATAAAGCATTTAACGTTCTTGGCCGATCGGGAAATGTCATAAGGAATTGCCAAGATATACAGAAATATAACTTCATTGTTAAATACTACTATTTTCGTTTTTTTGTTAGAGTGAAACAAAAGTACTTATAAAAACTAATAGATGGCATGAAAAATATACTATTTGTCAACGTTCGTTTAAGAGAAAAACACAGTCTATTGATAAAAGTGCGATTTTGCTTCTAAACAGTGTATTGTGCACAAATTATCATACACATGGACGCTTTGAATTAATGCACAGTAGTTTACCGCTGTCAAATCACAACTCGCTTAAGAAGAGGCAACAAACAAAAACCGAGAGAATCGCATAAATCCCAAAAGGAGCGAGACCAGGTGTTATAAGACATAAACAAGCATTATAATATTTTTACCTATATGCATGAAATGTGTATACTGTATATTATGTTTAATTTAAGATGTTTTTGAATATTGGTAACAGATTGTGAGTATTGAATTTTTCATTATAATGACTTTGAAAAACTTTCAAACAATTTGCTACAATGAACGCTTGGTTCTTGGAAACCTGCATTTTTTAAAAATATCATCGCAAGTACAAAATCGGTGATTAGTCTCATTAGAGGCCAGTAAAAACTCTTTCCGGCAATGGCAAGATATCAAACTGTTCAGTTAATAATAAATGCAATAAAGAAGTGTCATTTTTTGGTATTGCTACACAGTGGTACAATCTTAGTAGTAAACATGTGCTCGTTACAATAATTGTTACCTAGACAGAAAATTTTTTTTTTTTGAAGTGACTTATTTAAAGCATTCTGCCATTTAGCTTTGATATAGTTTTACAATGAATACTAGTAATATTGTGTGTAATACGTTAAATCATGTGTACAGACAGTTAGCATAGACTGAGACTATTCAATTGATTTTAAAAATTCTTAGTTTCTACATTGAAGAACAAATTTAATCTAAAGTAATAATGCTAATGAAAAGTGCTTGGCAATGTAATGTTATGCCCATTATTTTCTGTTCTGTATATTTTGGCACCAATTATTTTTTTGTTCTTTCAACTCTATACATACCCTATATTATTCGTCGGGATGATCTAGAAACGGATCAACAACTCGATAAATAATATGTGTTCATATTCAATTGCCAAGTCTTTACTTTAACAAAACAGTCCAAAATTCAAACGTTTGTGAATAGTTACATCCATCAACCTACCTTACCACAACCCGACCAGTCGCACTTGACATTAATTATTTGATATAAACAGCAGTTGAAAGTGTTTTATGATTTTACACACGGTATGATGATAATCCTTTTTTCAAACAATAAGGGAATTCGAACAAGATTAACAGAATGATTATTGATGTCAAATAAATTTAATTAATTAAAATCAACAAATTCAAATGATGCATAAGCAATGAAAACCACTTTGTTGTGATATTTTCCTTTCAAAGTAAAACTTATCTTAGTCCCAAATCAAGTATTAATTTTTAATGTACAAATCGATATTATACCTTGTTTAACTTGTGCACAATACCACAAAACATTATATATGCCATTATTTTGTATACTCAACATCAAAATAACGACTATTTGTCCCCAGGAATTCAAACCCGTTCTCGTAGCGCAATCTTAGTCATCACATGAATGACTACTGGACTGTTTAGGTACGACCAAATCAAATTTCTATAAAACAACACAACGTAGGCTGAATTGGTCCTCGCTTTAAATTTTGTACGATTTGTGGTTCTTAAACGTTCAAATTTGTTTTCATTAAAACATTCAATTAAACAGGTAAAGAAATATGGGTATTGTAAGTTTTGTATTTATCATATCAATCACTTTGAAAAACTTTCAAACAAATTGCTACAACAAATAAACAT